CGTTAATCGTATATCGATTTCCTTTCGTCTATTAACCAAAGTTAACTATTCCTAATTTAAAATACACTTGACTGGATATTAATAGAGGAGCTGACTAGTGATGCAAGAGAAAAGGAATGAATATGGCAGAGGCAAACTAAGAGAGTGTGTATGCATTACCGGGGATAAATTAATATAGAGAAAGCTTTGTAATTTCTGGATTAGATTTTCTGCCGACCTTTTAGGCGAAATTCTCTTCATATATTTATGATTATGCCAATATAGACTACGTAAGTTTCCAGGCAGCTAGTTATAATATCTTGCTTAAGTAACTGGTATATTTGTGCTTGTATTTCTTAGTGTATTCCATGCGATGTCGTAGAACATCACAGTAAGTCATAACATTGCATTTATTAACCTTTCTCTTTCGGTATTATGAGATATATCTAACCGCTGCAATATTATCACTTTATTCAACCAGAATTGGAACGATTCTCTTTTTATCTGTTTTTTAAAGTTAAGCTTATATATATATATATATATGAGAAATGTTTACATAAGCTCTACTAGGTCTACTTACAAACTCTCAAAAATGTACAAGTCATTCTAAAGTTTGAGTTTTTGTTTGGACCATAGATCGTGTTGAGGATACTACTTCTTGAACCTCGCGATTATCCATTAGATGAAAGTAATCTGTTACATTTCAATAGAGTAATTCAACATGTTGGATTTGTTGCTGCTTAGACGCAGAATCCAAGCGTACATAATACCCACGTGCTACTACCTAATTCTGGGAGTACCTTATATTAGATTCGTTATACATCCTAAAAGGATATATCCTTAGAGCTCACATAAGATCATCAGGCTCGTGTGCTTAATTCAACATAAAAAGTAAATTAGATTAGACTTAATGAAACTTAAGGAATTCTGCTGGTATCCTATTTAAGTTGGATTTTGAGATTAAAACTCTTATTATGGCGGTATCACCAAACTAATCTGATCTCCATGACCCACTTATTGGTTTGAGACTCAAGTGAATAATCTTTTATAGGGGATGGCAAATCAGGAGTACAATAAAATTATTTTCAATGTTGTTGGGTCTGCACATTCATATGCATTCGCTCACTACTAAACAATATTCAAATAGCCAACCTCGATTACCCGTATTTTACGCACTACAGCTTATTTTTATTGTTAATCTATTTTTGCCTTTTGTATTGCCACTATTTCCTTTTAACAGCTCATTACTGATATATACTTATGCTTTATAAACTCGTAAATTGAGTTGCTCTAACCTTCAAGCACAAGCTATTAAGGCGCCACCGTTTTTTTCACAATTATTGAAGCTATTTCTTTGTCTTCTTTAGTTTCCACAATCATTGTTCCTTTATGAATATGTCAATACGGTATACTTGCATCTGGGGGCTCATATTTAGAGATGTAATCTGAGGCTAATCGCATATACATATATGATTAATTGTTGTTCTTGTTAAACCTGGTCTGAAATTGTTTGATACTAGGCCGAATAAGCACCAAGACCAGTTGGCTGACAATGAAAAGCCTTCTCCATTATCTGGATATTAGAGAAATGCAAATCCAACAAGGCTACGGACTCCAGAATACAAACCGGACAGAAATCGCAGGATGAGTTTATAATCCAACGACTGATATGAAAATTCAGGCTTTCTTCAATTGCTTGGTCTAACTGGCAAAATGGATTCAAGAAGGTTCAGATCTTAACTCTTTATACACTTAGAGTACTAGGACTCGGCAAAAGCGACACCCGCCATGAAGGTAGTTGACCTGGTCGAGTGCAGGAAAAGGATATTCATTTTTGAAGGCGCATTCCTACTGGAAATCTGGCACAGAGTGCTTACAGCCATCCGTGAGGATGCTTCTGAGCCTATTAGTAACATTGTGAAGTTTGTTGAACAATACGAATGGATTTTCTCAGAATTACCTACAATAGAAAGATATGTCCTAAACGATGCCCCGTATATTTGAAGAAAATCTTAGCTTCTGAGTTTGTCATTGGGGCAGTGCGCTTGAGCGCCACTTGACACGATCTCTTTTCCAATTCCCTTGATGTTACTGTTGAGATCCAACCGAGGTCAAAATCTTACTCCTATTTTAGTGATTAAATCTTTTAGGTAAAAAGTTAACTGACCATATTAAATCTTCCTTATGAAAGATTTGATTATCACCCAATCGGTATACAAATTGAAGCACTCCATTATTTTGGGGATTTCCAACTATCATGCTAAATAACATAACCTTCGTATATGGTTTCTACAACTGTCGCTATAGCTTAA